GAGGTTTGTAAGGGGTGTGCCTAAGTGCACCAATGTGCCTACCGTCCCTGTCCTAACAACCCTATTTATTCATATCTATTTCATGTATTCATAATCATGTTTATACTTATATATGTTATCTAATACATGCTTGATAAAATAAATAAAAATAAAAATTAAATTAAATTAAATTAAATTTCCAAGGAAAGAATATTTAGCTACCCATTGCAAGACTTTAGATCCCCCACTAAGCTCCACTCAGTGGGAAGAACACTTCTTCCAACTTCAGAAATTTGGGTATATTCCAACTTTTCCTTGGGAAGGAAACCTACTTCAGGTTCCTATTACCCTAGGAATATCTAGCTATCATACAGCTTATCTTAGCTTCTTCTCTTCCATTTTCCATATTTGGTATTATATATTTCTTTCCCTTAATTTTTATTTCTGTGGAATGATTTATTCTTTTTACCTTATTGCGAGGGGGGAAACAATGGGAAGGTTAAATCTTTTCCCCCTGCAGGATATCATAACCACATCCTGATTATGGATTATGAAGATGTTTATGAAAAGGAGCAGGAGGATAGGATGATGATGGAAAAGGAAGAAGAGTCCAAGAATGGAGATAGGGACATCCAGCAAAGGAAATATCATGCTAATCATTGTGAACTGAGACTAATATTAATGTGAACAGACCTCCTAGTTCAAATTAATCTTTTCTGTGACTACAATCTTACACAGTGTCCTCAAAGAGCTCCTTGGAGGGACGTTTGCTGAAGTCCATCACTGTCTGGAAGACATAGAACTGAGAGAACATGTTCACAACTATGAGGTCTCCTGATTGATATTGCTTGTGAAGAAAAGGCAGAGGATCACTGGTCTTACATTCAGCTCTGTGATTCTTGCATACCACTTGAGGTAAAGGCAGAATAACCAACATTGCAAATAACACCATCTTTGACAGTAGCATTTCTTCTTCGGTAAGCTAATGTCTATGAACCAACATTCTCCTTCATTAAGTATAATTTTACTTCAGCTAATGGCTCAGTTACCCCGCCCCTGTCCTTCAGGACTTAGAGCTGAATTTGAAATAATTATATAGGAATCGAGCCTCGGTGGCGCAGTGGTTAGAGTGCAGTACTGCAGGCTACTTCTGCTGACTGCTGGCTGCCTGAAATTTGGCAGTTCGAATCCCACCAGCTCAAACTTGACTCAGCCTTCCATTCTTCTGAGGTTGGTAAAATGAGGAGCCAAATTGTTGGGAGCAATAGGCTGACTCTGTAAAACCGCTTAGAAAGGGATATAAAGCAATGTAAAGTGATACATAAGTCTAAGTGCTATTTGATAATTGCAGTAAAAAAACCAAAAGTGTCAGAAGCAAAAC